TATATAACAATACATTGGACATACAATGTATAGCAATTCATTGGTCATACAATATAGGCCAATACATTGGACATACAATATATAACAATTTATTGGAGATACAATATATAACAATACATTGGTCATACAATATATAACGATTCATTGGTCATACAATATATAACAATTACATACAATATATAACAATACATTGGAGATACAATATATAACAATTCATTGGACATACAATATATAACAATACATTGGAGATATATATATCACAAAACATTGGACATACAATATAAGACAATACATTGGTCATACAGTATATAACAATACATTGGACATACAATATATAATAATACATATTGGACATACAATATAAAACAATTCATTGGAGATACAATATATAACAATACATTGGTCATACAATATATAACAATACATTGGACATACAATATAAAACAATTCATTGGAGATACAATATATAACAATACATTGGTCATACAATATATAATATTACATTGGACATACAATATATAACAATGCATTGGACATACAATATATAACATTACACTGGACATACAATATATAACAATACATTGGACATAAAATATATAACAATACATTGGACATACAATATATTACAATTCATTGGACATACAACATATAACGATACATTGGTCATACAATATATAACAACACATTAGACATACAATATATAACGATACATTGGACATACAATATATAACGATACATTGGACATACAATATATAACAACACATTAAACATACAATATATAACAACACATTAGACATACAATATATAACAATTCATTGGAGATACAATATATAACAACACATTAGACATACAATATATAACGATACATTTGACATACAATATATAACGATACATCGGAGATACAATATTTAACGATACATTGGACATACAATATATAACAATTCATTTGAGATACAATATATAACAACACATTAGACATACAATATATAACGATACATTGGACATACAATATTTAACGATACATTGGACATACAATATATAACAATACATTGAACATACAATATATTACAATTCATTGGACATACAAAATATAACGATACATTGGTCATACAATATATAACAACACATTAGACATACAATATATAACGAAACATTGGACATACAATATATAACGATACATTTGAAATACAATATATAACGATACATTGGAGATATAATATTTAACGATACATTGGACATACAATATATAACAATACATTGGTCATACAATATAGAACAATACATTGGACATACAATATATAACAATACATTGGGCATACAATATATAACAATACATTGGACCTACAATATATAACAATACATTGGACATACAATATAAAATAAAACATTGGACATACAATATATAACAATACATTGGACATACAACATATAACAATACATTGGACATACAATATATAACAATTCATTGGAGATACAATATATAACAACACATTAGACATACAATATATAACGAAACATTGGACATACAATATATAACGATACATTTGACATACAATATATAACTATACATTGGAGATACAATATTTAACGATACATTGGACATACAATATATAACAATACATTGGGCATACAATATATAATAATACATTGGACATACAATATATAACAATTCATTGGTCATACAATATATAATAATACATTGGAGATACAATATATAAAAATACAATGGACATACAATATATAACAATACATTGGTCATACAATATATAACAATTCATTTGAGATACAATATATAACAACACATTAGACATACAATATATAACGATACATTGGACATACAATATTTAACGATACATTGGACATACAATATATAACAATACATTGAACATACAATATATTACAATTCATTGGACATACAATATATAACGATACATTGGTCATACAATATATAACAATACATTGGACATACAACATATAACAATACATTGGACATACAATATATAACAATTCATTTGAGATACAATATATAACAACACATTAGACATACAATATATAACAATTCATTGGAGATACAATATATAACAATTCATTGGACATACAATATATAACAATACATTGGACATACAATATAAAACAATTCATTGGACATACAATATATAACAATACATTGGACATAAAATATATAACAATACATTGGACATACAATATATTACAATTCATTGGACATACAAAATATAACGATACATTGGTCATACAATATATAACAACACATTAGACATACAATATATAACGATACATTTGACATACAATATATAACTATACATTGGAGATACAATATTTAACGATACATTGGACATACAATATATAACAATTCATTGGTCATACAATATATAATAATACATTGGACATACAATATATAATAATACATATTGGACATACAATATAAAACAATTCATTGGAGATACAATATGTAACAATACATTGGTCATACAATATATAACAATTCTTTTGAGATACAATATATAACAACACATTAGACATACAATATATAACGAAACATTGGACATACAATATATAACGATACATTTGACATACAATATATAACTATACATTGGAGATACAATATTTAACGATACATTGGACATACAATATATAACAATTTATTGGTCATACAATATATAACAATACATTGGAGATACAATATATAACGATACATTGGACATACAATATATAACGATACATTGGATACAATATATAACAATACATTGGACATACAATTTATAACAATACATTGGAGATACAATATATAACAAAACATTGGACATACAATATAAGACAATACATTGGTCATACAATATATAACAATACATTGGACATACAATGTAAAACAATACATTGGGCATACAATATATAACAATCCATTGGACATACAATATATAACAATACATTGGAGATACAATATATAACGATACATTGGACATACAATATTTAACGATACATTGGACATACAATATATAACAATTTATTGGTCATACAATATATAACAATACATTGGAGATACAATATATAACGATACATTGGACATACAATATATAACGATACATTTGAAATACAATATATAACGATACATTGGAGATATAATATTTAACGATACATTGGACATACAATATATAACAATACATTGGACATACAATATATTACAATTCATTGGACATACAATATATAACGATACATTGGTCATACAATATATAACAACACATTAGACATACAATATATAACGATACATTGGACATACAATATATAAC